ACTGTCATTCCACAGGTGACTACAGAGCTCCACAGCAGCATTTGTAAACATGCCTTCATTTTTCCTGTGATCTCCTGCCTCATTTTCCCCACTGGAGATGAAACATCAGTGTTTTCTCACTCATGGTTCCAGCACAGAAAAGCTGTCTGTGGTTAGATCAAGAAGGGCAGAGGCCACTCAGGGCAGTGGCTCAGGGCATCCTGTGTAGGATAAAGACCTAGATCCACCTCTGACACCCCCCCTGTAACCCTGAGTGTTGCTGCCACACTAAGGACAGCGATTACCATTCAGTTGAGATCTACCTGGAAATTTTTTATTGCTACTTTTGTTTCTTGCATCACCCCAAGGAAATCGTATCTATCCTACAGGCATCCACACAGGCTCAGAGGATGGGGAGGATCACTGACCTCCTCATCACGCTCACCCCAGACACCCAGAGAGCTGGCAGCTCTAGAGCCAGTTCCCACAGGCAGGTACTGATCAACCCCAACCAGACCTCACTGTAGCTCTCCAGTGCTCAGTACCAAAATTCCCTGCAGCAATCCCTTCTCATGGCCAGCCTAAGCACCTGGCTGTCAGCCAGCCTTTGGGATTGGAGAGGACTACTAGAGGCACACTGCCAGGGAGGAGACATTTAGGGTCAGGGCTTGCTTCTCTAGGCTGCAGCCTAGTGCTGTGTAACATGAGGCTGATCCGGTTTTGCCCTGCATCCAGCCAGCAGCAATGAGGGAAGTGATGCTGGGGACCCCGTACGGTCTGGGCCAGCAAAACTCAGAGGCAGGGGAATGAGGCAGCCAGAGCCTTCCCTGAGCCAGGGCAGGGCAAACTCAGCTCCACATCATTTCCAGCTCCTACTGTGCTGCACTGGGGAAACATATTTAGCTGCTCTCTTCTCCCAAACACAAATAACCTGATTTTGGCAGAGAGCAAGTTTTGCTCCCCAGGGCTCAGGAGGGGAGACATTACTTCATCCACTTCCCATAGGGACTGTAACTAACCCAGTGCAGGAAAACTCACTCTGATTGACAACTACAGAGCCGGAGGCAGACACTGCCTGCATCTTCGACCTGCCCTTGAAGTAATTAATCCAATAGCTGAAGCTGAGCGCTCCCTTCCTTGCCCTGGGTATGCAGAGCCACAAAGGAGGCTCTGAGCCTGGGTCTGTGATCCACAGCAAACAAGCTGAGATTTGCTTGAGGAGAGCTCCTGCTCAGGAATTGTCAGCCCTCCCGTAAGTCATGTAGGAATTTTGATGGAAAACAGGGTATTAATCTGCCAGATACCCAGATAGTTCATCAGCAGGCTTTTAGCACGAGGCTAGAGGCTTCCAGCAGGACTAAAACCACTGAGAACTATTCCTCCGCCCATCTCTTCGGGGGAAGCTGCTTTCTGGGTCTCCGCACCAAGAAGAGGAGACAGGACAGTAATGGAGCAGACATTCCTCCCTGAGGGCTGGCTCTTCTTGGACACGCTGTCTTCTAACACTCACATACAAGTACTGGCTCTGATCTCTCCCCTCAAAGAGGGTGAGACCCTGACCCCAGACTTTTGCTTCTGTGTTAGTCTCACAGAGCCAGCAAAGGAAAATGATCTGCATAATTACTCTTACTACTGGCAGCAATAAAAGTGTTTCAGTATATGGTGTCTGTCAGCCATGTACAAGCTCGCAGGGACTTTGCTAATTACTGAAGTTTCCTGCGCTGACAAAGAGATCCCCAGGGATGTAGCAACCAATGGAAAAAAACTGTACAGAAGAATTTCAGCACCACATAACAGATCTCCTGGACTAGAAGCACATTTTAGCACCTTGCCACAAGGTCCTGTGGGCGCTGCAGGCACCCACATACAAGCACAGAATCTGGTCCTACACCCTGAAGACCACTCATCAGACCATAGTAGGTACTTCTTGGAGACAGGAGTCTAATATGAGTCAGGATTTAGAGAGGCCTGAGCAGAGAAGTGATCCTCCTTCCACAACTCCCAGCATCTCCTGTCTCTGGCAGCCTCCTTTACTCGCATGGAGCACCTGAAGCAGACGTTCTTGTTTCTGGGTGCTACGGGACTGCCGAGTTTGTTTTGCACTTCCAGCACAGCTCTGGGAAGCAGTCACACATCTCCTTAACCACGTGCCCCTGAGCAAAGCTCACCCTCCCACGCCAAGCTGGTGCTACACCGTCAGGTTGCAATAAACATCATGACTGAAGGAAAACGGGTCTGATGTACAAACAGCAGCACTAAGGGCAACCAGCTTGGGCATCTCACTTGAGCTCCTCTTGAGAGCTGTAAGAATATCTAAGCTTTATGAAGACTGACTGGGTTGAGACTAGACTTAACTCCACAGACTTATTTTCCCACATCCACATGGGGTGGGCTAAAAGCCTTCTGGGAAGGTCCAAGCCACCAACACAATTTTTAGTGGCACTGAGTGCCAAACCCTTTCCAAACCTGTATGTGTGCTTGGCATGCAGGTTTCAGAAACCCCTTCTGATACCATAACCTGATGTGCCATAGTCCAGAACATCCAAAGTCACTCTCATTTCAGTATGAGCTGGGAGTTTTCACACCCAGGCCCATGTACATGGGGGAAATGAGGGAGTTAAGACATGTAAAGAAAGCAGTGAAGGTCAAATTTTCATTGTAAATCATTATGGTCTTAGCAGCAAAGACATTTTCTTCACACTCATCTGTAAAGTTTTTAGCAACAGGACTACTACCACCACATATACAGTCTATCCAGGGGACAGTACCCGTTCTCCTAAAGGATGCTCAATTCAAATCAATCAAAGAATAGGCAAAGGCAAAATTGTGACTTATTCACACCAAGAAGCTCCATGTTTGCTTAAGCAATGCTAGAGACAGATTTGACTCGAGTTCAGCAAAAATTAAAGCCACGCCACATGCACCTGATCCTGCATCAGTCACACTAACAACAGTGTGATTCACTGAGAACTACTGCCACTTGTGAGCAAGTCAAGACAGATACACAGTAAAGCGAGGAAAATGCCTCCCAACACCCTAAGCTGCTATTTTGCTCTTACTGCCTCTGTATCATAAGAAACAGTCTGTTGGTGGCTCTGAAAGAGCAACCCAGCTGCTTTTTGTATGCGAGTCACAGGGAGTCTGACTTCACGCAGGACAAATTAGCCAGGGCTTGCCCCGCCAGGTTGGGTAATATTGTCTGGTGCTCTGCACTACACCTGCAATAAGCAGCTTTTAAGACTGATTGATTAAATGTTTCGGTTTCACTTCAGCAATTAATCTCAGCAAGCTTTTACTTATTTGTATGCTTCAAAGCTTGAGAGATAATCCCTTAATTATTCCCTCGCTCTCCTCCTCAGTCTGTGGTTTATTGAAAAATAACCACAGCGCCGTACTGACAGGCAGGAACAAATCCTGGCTTCATCTCCCAGGTAGCTGCACCATGTTCCAGGGAGGCTGCCCACCTCAGAGCCAGCAGACAGTTTGATCCCTGTGGCCTATCCATGAAAATCACTTTTGTAAAGATTAACCACAGAGGAATCAGGTGTTTCAGTAAGAACAAGACGCAGGTTTTCAAAGCAAGCCATGAAGATCCTGGCCCTGGATTCTTCACTTGGTCTTTTCATTTCACATGGTATAAACCCCACAGCCCTAACCTCTAGTGTAGTTAGAGCTGGGCTGATCTAGCCCAGGAAAAGATCTATTCCTCTGAAGTTTATCCTATAGGTTCTCTATATCCATACAAACGAGGCACCTTTTGTCGTTCTCTCTCTGAAATTTCAGTAGTTCTTTCAAGAAAGTGTTACTCAAATCCATGAGCTACTCTGAGCGAGTGTAAACCATTCACTGTGAATATATCATTAACTGAAAAATATTAAACAAAGCTGTGGTAACTCAGAAGGCTACAAAGAGCTTATGATAAATATAGGAGCATTTCTAGAACTTGTACAAACTCAAGACAACTAAAATGCTCATTGCTGGGCAAAAGCATCACAGCAGCACCTAGGTGAGGACATCACACTTCCTAGGACTGAAGTTCAGAAATAGGGACAAAACAAACCTCTCTTCCAGGCAAGAGAAAATGCACACAAAACGCATTCAGGCAACTGAGGAAGTGCCTCAATCAGCATCACAAGATACCTCTGCTGAACCAAGGAAGACAGAAGCATTTTAACATCACACCTTTTTCTTGAGTTTTTCCCACTTAAAGTGACTTACAAAGCTGACAGCATTTCTGTCACCTGAGCTTGGCTTCTCGTACCCTAATATAAATTTTATACCTATCTCAGGAGGCAGCAAGCACTCCCTGCCAAATCCCAAGAGCCCTCAAGTCCCGGATGCTTTAGTTCTGATGCTGTGAAGAGTGGGATGTAGGTGGATAGAGAGCAAGATTAAAAAAAGGTCTGTGGCAAGACAACAGAGAAGTGGTATAGGGGACAGAGGTGTGTAAGAGACAGGGGGCATTCAGAGAGAGTCCGACAGAGACATGCATTCCCCACGTTACACTTCAAACAGAGCATTGTCTAGGAATAACACTTTGCACCTGCATGTGCACGCTGCAATGGAGAATCAAGGTTCCTCCTTCCTCCACTCAGCAACTCCCAGGAAAGCAGCATGCCAAAAATCTCATTCCTGCTTGAGGGGATCCACTTTAACAACCCCCTAAACACCAACTATTTGTCACTGTTCCCTAAGGTAAAGGACAGGGGAGGTACACCTTGAGAGGGAATTAAGGTGGCTGCCACAATGGGAAATGATGGTAAATGACTGTCATGGGGGTGTGCTGGGTGGAGAACACCGTGCTGACACCAGGGATGGACCAGCACACAGCCACACACGACACAGAACAGACTCAGCCTTTGTCCCTTATCTGCTCCCTTCTAAGCACTGAAACATGCAGAGGTTTTGAAAGAAAAGCTTTTAAACGTAGTTTGCAAAGCAAGCTTAACATTATTCTGCTTAGAAAAGGCTCTGTTCTGAAGGATGCAGAGAGTGTGCACCACCTGGTGCCCAGCACTTACCTGTGTCATAGTGAACTACCAGTGAACTGGAGGGATCCCCAGTCTTCAGCGAGTGAAACTCCACTGTCACTTGCATGGTGTCATCAAGATTCCCGGTGGAGGGATTGACAGAGAAGGGGCTGCAACGCAGAGAAGGAGACACATCAGGGCTATTGTGGGAGATTTGTGGACTATACTGCTTTTGCAGTCCACTCCACTTCAGCTCACTTGTGCACAGAACGTAGAAGATCAGAAACAACGCTACTGACTCTCACTTCTGAAGAGATCCAGCTCTCCAAACACCCTGTGGTATCAAACGACCTTATCTCCCCCATACTCTGCATCCCCTTCTCTGCAGGGAGGTTAAAGAGTCTGACCACTACAACCAGAGGATGGTTTTTGAGGAGCACAGAGATGGCGAGAGCTACCTGCATGGACAACTTGACACTGACTTCCTCAGGAATCTTGTATTTTCCTGACACCTATAACCCCACCTCAAGAGATGCAAATGTCAGGGCATTACCTGTCCCAGTAAGACTACAAGCCTAGGAATCAGACAGAGAGAATAAAAATCTTTCTGGAAGACCAGAGAATAATTACAGTTTAATTTGCAGAATTTTTTATTTTTTTTTTAACCTTGAAAACATCCTGGTTTAGCCTAAGAAAGGGCAGGTTTCATCAGCATTACAATGAAAGCTGCTCTAAGAAAAGGAACAATCAGAAAAAGCTGAATGAGTGCAAATGCAATGACATGGAAACAGGACACAAAAGGAGGATCCCATTTACAGCCTGAACGATTAAATCCCTGGCTAAAGGAAGTGCCATTACCAGAAGGATTTCAAGGTGAGTTTTAACAGGAGGTTTTCTGTGTATTCACAAGCACTGCAATCTGGGACTCTGGGTTGTAACCCAAGCTCAGTAACTTTTTGCTTGGCCCACCAAAAAAAAATCTGTGCAATGCGTTGGAAATAATGACAATAATGTGTTGAGGTACTTTGGATTTAATATGTGCAATTATGGTTTGTTGCCAGGTAAATGGCTCCTGGCTGACAGACACAAAACTCTGTGTCCCTGTGCTGTAACGCAAAGGGACAAGTCAGGTGAAACGTGCTTCTGCCATATGGCAGCTGGGCTTTGTGGCTCTTCTACAGCTCCACTTAGAAGCAAAAGTTACTGGTTTTAGTGCTTTGCTGGTGGTCAATTTCTCACCTTAAAAACATGTTTTACCATGAAGAGTTTTACTATGATTAGAGAATGCAACACACACAAAAATAATGAGAACAACTGGAGCCATGTGCAAACTGAACTTTGTTCATGTAAGTAGTGACAGCTGATGAAATTGCTGGAGTTTCTGTTCATTAAGGAGATGTTGCTGCAATTAGGGGCCTGACCTGTTCCCATTACAGTTAGTGAGGACACTGCTACCAAAGCACTGGGCCTGCAATGTTTATGTGCTGGACCTGAGGCTTTCGAGAGAGAGGAGGGAAGACAGGACACCACCAGCCTCAGAACTGGGCTGCTCTGCATGGTCCTGCATCTGCACTGATGGTTATGCCAGGACTGCTACAGGTCTCTGCTGGTGCTTGAGTGGGATCACTGCCTGGTGTGGCAAAGGCACAGATCTTGGTTTTTTTCCCTTTTCTTTTGCCAGAGATGTTGCCAGAACAGAAAAGCTGCTAGTTAAGGGGCATCCCGGACAGCGCTTCAGCACTAACTCCCATCCCACCACCTTCCTACTCCTTCCCCATGTCTACATACTCCTGTCCCCAGATGGATGGGATGGGAATAACACTCCTGGGGGTGACTTCAGGGGATGCCTGAGAAAGAAGGTATCTTCATGTTTTCAAATTACCAGAAGAGGATCCAACCAAATTCAGGACTAAGAAACAGAGTACAAATCAGACACTGCCTGTCCTACATCCCACCCCATGCTGTACTCACAGGACAACTCTCTTACTGCTTTGGCAGTAAGATCGTTATCCCTCACACAGACCTGATTCTCCAAGACCCAAAGATGCAAGATCCATGGTTAAGCTTAACTCCCCTGAATTTCAGTCAACATCACTAAGCGGTTGCCTGGAGCCTACAGATAAGAAGAGATGCTAAGGAGACATCCCTGATACACTGTAATAGCCAAACGAAAACCACTGCCAAGAGATGATTCTGGCAGGCTAAACTTTGGCTTTTTATCCACTAATTGTGAGCTGCTCTTTAAGATAATTTTCATCTTGTTAGATCTACCCTTTTAATGAATCACCACTGCTCCTGAAAGACAGAAAAGATAAGGTTTGGAGGTTTTTTAATAGCTTGTTTTCTTCTGACATGCTTTTTAACTATGTCCATTTGCATGTTTGCTTTGTTGTACAACATCTAAACTTTCACAGGTCCAGATCTCCCAATGGCACCTTGCAATCCCCAGCTTGTATAAACTTCTCTAACCACACCAATTTAGAAGAGACCTGCCCATTAGTACTTGCTGAGATCTTGCCTATTCTTGCCCTTCAGAAAGAAAGCAACACTAGATTCGTAAGCAATTTCATAATGATATACGTTGGCATTTACATCTTGCTTACTTTCACCAAGCAACAGATCACCAGGCAACAGCTCCCTATCCTGACAGAGTTGGGCAAAAGGTATGTCCTGTGATGATACCAAGGGTCAAATACTCCTGATATAATTGAGAAAAACGACTGACAAGTGAACAAAGCTGGCAGTTCTGTGGCTCAGGCTCCCAAACCACCACACCACCTTTTCTCCTGCAACCACACCTTTGTAAATGCGGTGTGCAAGGAGGCTGCAACATACTTCCAAGTGCCATGGCATGTTTATCTTCAGCAACCAACCTTTCCTTGGTCTACTGGTGCCTTAATGTGCATTATAAAATCACTGGAGTTTGGGAGAATCGATTTCATTACAAGGTACCTTCAAAGCCAAGACAGTAAAATTATTGGTGACTGAATTGCCTCATCTGTCCACTAGGATCTATCGCAGGAAAAAAAGCAAAGATCATTTAATCTTAGCATATGTTTTTTTTAGTAATGGTATAACAGCCAAAGTCAAGCAGTGTAACTATTCCAGTAAACCCAGACTGTTACAGTCAAAGCATCCAGGACTGCATTTTGGTGCTGAAAAATCCTGTATGGAGTCAGCATCTCGCCAGCTCTATATTTCCCTCTTCCACTGCAGCTAGGATCTATTTTCACATCCTTGGATAGCCTTTGTACACCCTATGGTAACTCTCTAATCTCATACCTCCATGTAGTGTATGGGTACTACAGGGAGGGATGCAAGGGGGATCAAGGTACTGTGCCTTGTAGGATCATTTCCTGAGCTTTCAGAGCTTGGTGGGGACATTCCTAAATGGATCTTATCTCGGACTGATCCCCTCTGGCCCCATAGCATGGCATAGCACAACGTTGGCAGTGTCAGGGAAAGGCAGAGCTGCACTGAAATCTGCTTCCAGACACCACTTTCAACTTGAATGTATTGGAATGACATTTATCTCCGTGAATGTCATGGAACAGAAACTCATTATCCTGCCTTAACAATGAGACAACAGGAAGAGACATTTTCTATTTAGACTATTATTATTTTTTATTACCATGCTATGCAGTTAAGAGCTGAGTATGAACCTGCAGAGGGAGAAGAGGCACAAAGCCAGACTGCGTAATGGGGAGTGCTTTGGTGTTTTCACCCTCCATGAAGAAGTGGTCAAAATGCAGCCATGTAGCAAGGGAGAGCTCTGAATGGGGAACAGCAGAAGGATGCTGAATTGGTCCCATGGATTCACTTAAGAGCTCTTCCCTGGAGGGAAATGCACAACAGAAAACATCAAAGTCTTTAGATAAACGAGTAACAGGCAGGGAACGTCATCATCATCGTGAAGTGACCAGATGTAAGAGCTGAGCTCTCGGTACTGACTGAGAGGAAAGGTTAGGGTTGGAGATGGGCTGAAAAATGCACTGAAGGTGAAAGCAGACAGCTAATGCTTCATGCCACAGAGAAGGGAATCCAGGGAAAGGAAGCAAGGAAAAGCAATATGAGCAGCACGATGGACTAGGAAATGGTGGCATCTGCAGCTGACTTGAATGGGCAAGAGCCTGAACTTGCTTCAGCCAGGAAAGAGAGGTTTAAATTGTATAGATAGAGAATAAAGCATACAGAGGTCACCTGATGGGTCTATAAGCTTAGACAGGTCTCTCGTTTCATTCTCCCCCTCTAATCATGCTCCTCCTCCTCCTATCACATGCAAGCATGCTTCTACATATCGACACACACCAAAGCTGTTTTGCAGTATTAAGACTGGCCTTAACAGAACACCATATCCTTAAGAATGAGAATAAGAAGAGACTAAAACAGTCCTGAATTTAAGTCTGTAAGGCTGGCACTCCTTTCCCCTCACACCTATGCCATAACTCTTGATTACTGCATCTCATATTTACACTTTAAGCTCTCCAGGACAGGGAACATAGCTCATTCATTTCCAAAGTACAGTTTCAAGTGTTCTGTGATAATAATTCATCATCAAGTTATTATGGAAGTCTTTCCAAAGAATTAGTGACATTAAGCTTCACTACCTCTGTTAATAATGATGCAGCTTTTGTTATAGCCTCTATAACAAGGAAATGAATCCCCTAAAACTAGCAGGAGAAGGGCCTCTCTTGTGAAAACCTCTGTAAAAATATTCCTACAAAGACAGTTGCCAGCTAATGATCTGCAAGGCCTGTGGAGTGGTCTGTTGGTCTGATTCTCAAGCCAACTTGTCATGCCAGCTGGGAGGCCAATTCTCTTCTGCTGGGATTGCTAGAACCACAGGGCTCACCTGGCAGCTCCGTGGTTAGTAGCTGAGCAAAGGCAGTAAGGAACCAACTATTGATGGCTGCTATCAAGAGAGTCAGTCATTAGTCTGAAAACTCACAGGTATGGCAGAGAAAATAATCAAGAAAAGAGCTGGTGCAGTGCAGTCAGGATATGTCACTCCATATGGTCCCCCAGCGCTGACTGGAATAACCACTTCTGGCACACCATGGCCTCATCACATAGAGAGAACATGGTTGTTCTGGTCTTGGGCTGTAAGAGGACACCCTGACCTGCTCAAGGGGAGGGAACACACAATTTGGTGGAGGATACCAAACTGGGGGGCACAGTTGATGCATTGGAGGGCTGGGCTGTTATTCAGAGGGACAACGGGCTAGAGAAATAGGCTGATGTGAACTTCACGTACTTCAGGGATAGAAAAAGTGAAATCCTGTATTTGGAGTGGAATAGCTCCTAGTACAGGGCGGGCACTGATGGGACAGAAAGCATTTCTACAGAAGAGAACCTTAGGGGCTGGAGCACAGGACACACAGGGAGATGCTGAGATAAATGGGTCTGTATGGTCTTGAGAAGGAAAGATGAAAGTTGATCTTACTTGATCTTACTTACTGCTTGTGGTACTTGCAAGCCTGATCCAACTTTGACACTGATCTTTGCTTCAAGCAGTGTGTTTGCTCAGATGATCTCCAGAGGTCACTTCCAACCAAAGTTATTCTATGATTTTTATCTTCTAATTCAACCCAATTCCATTTCACATATTCCCTAAATCTCTCATATTTCCTATACATCTTGTGTATATGTATAGGCAGATGATAGATAGAAAGGCTTTAGATTTCAACCTTTAAAGAAAGTTCCCAGTGAAGAATTCATTATGACATGCTGCTGAAAACTTAAACTTCAGAGTATTTAAAAAGAAATCTGACAAAGTCAGGGCAACTTAATTAGAATAAAATGCTGCTTATATTCAAAGATTTAAATAATCTGTTTGAAATTTTAAACTGGCTTTCAAAAGTTCATAATGAAATGGAGATGACAGATGCCCTCAGATGACAAGGGAAACCATATCAGCTTTCGATCTCTGTACACATGCAATCCAGTTATTCAGAATATTTTTTGGTATAGTTTAAAATAAAACATTTGCAGTGCTTACCATTTCTTTATTGCAAATCAGGAGTGAAATATTTAATTGCTGAAGAAACTCTTCAAACCTATATCAAGCAGGATTCAACATGTGCTGTATCACTCAATAGAAGAGTTGGAAAGTACATTGCAGAAAGATGCTAGACCTCACTGAGTATTTTGGTGGTGACATCTAGATCTAGAGATCCCAGAGAAAAACTGTGCAGTGATTTGCAAGTTCCTGCCTAAGTGTTTCCACAGTGAAAAGAAGCAGCCTCCTTAAATAGCATCCTAGAAGCCTGCTTAAATAGCTTCGCCAGGCTTTGGTGGCAGCTCCTCCTGAACCCTCACGTTTCACAGGAGAAAAGTAAAAAGTTGTCTTTTGAGCCCTGTTTTCCTGGGGAAAAAGTCGAAGAAACTCAGGTGCACCAAGTCAGACCGCTGGTCTTTGCTGCATTCTTGACCTCAGACCTCTGGGACCAAGCAACTCACAACTAAGCATCTGGCAACTGAACCAATTTCCTTGCAGCTGTGATGTCAAAAAGACACTACCCTCTCTGATTCAGCAAATTGGAAAACCAGTGACTGTCTTCTGAGACCAAAAGGAACAGTACAGGCTGTCCACAACACAGCTCATGTCAGGCTTTTGATTAGGGGACCACCACATGCTAGCAGCCTCCCAGAGAATGGGTGTCTTTGGCCAACACTGGTATGTAACCATTTCAGAAGGTATTCATGATCAGGAGGTTGCAAGCTGTATACTTACAGATTCTATCACTCTCCAGAAAATCTGAGTGAGATAAAGCTCTAGAAGAAAAAGGCCCCCAACCCATGCACCAGACACTTGCTGCATCTTTTGCCTGTGTCCTCATTAGCTTTGGGGCTATGGTGCAGTTTTAAAGTCAGTGTCTGCTCATCTCCACTTAAGAACTCATTCTACTTAGCGTATGGTCCCAGGGACCAGACCAAATCTACCAGATAATAAAGTTCCTGGACCACACAGTGTTCTTCTCAGGGCCTCAATACCAATTGCTTTGATCTACGATCTCTAATTGCACTTGCTAATATAGACACAGCTGCTGATAAATTCTTAAATGTCTCTTTCACCAGCTCTCAGCTCACCCATTTCTTAACACCATGTTTGATAAATTCTTAAATGTCTCTTTCACCAGCTCTCAGCTCACCCATTTCTTAACACCATGTTTGATCTACAGGAACCGAGCTTCTAGAGCTGTCACCTGCCTGCCATGCAGCATCTTACACAGCCCAAGTTGCCTTCCTATGTTTGCTCTTTCAATCTAATAGAATCAGTCTTGCAAGATGCTGTGTTGGAGACACCACTGCAGTACAAAACCTCGCTGCAGCATGCAGAGTTTTATCAAAGGCTGCATCACGCTTAAAACACTATATGCAACAGCAAAACCCACGTGTACCGCCCATTTCCAGCTACTGCTGCAATACAGCAGCTCAGATGCTCTGGTTCCTTCTTAATATGGTTGGTAAACAGTAACATCATGCAACAGTGTTTTGCACAAAGACAATGAGCTCCTTTACCTCTCAGTGCTGATGCGGTAGTGAGCCTCCCAGTTACCGATGTTGCGAACCAGCAGTTTTCTGGGAGCTGTACTTGACTGGACAGACGGAGAAGTTCAGCTGGTCAGGGAAGTCCAGGATAGCTCAGGCACCTATAGCTCAGATTGGCATAATAAACTTTCTGTGATGCAGGTGAGCTGGCGGAAATAATCCTGAAGGGAAAGAAACAGTCTCAGCACAGTGCATTAGTACCATCCCACAGCAGAAGAAAAACTGCTGTTTTCTATAACTAACAGCAGCATCCAATAATGTCATAGTACTTTCTACCTTAATGACCTTTCATTCTGATAGCATGACTTGAACAGGGCCGTTAACTTGCAAAGAAACACCACCATTGATTCACCAGCTTTCACAGCAAGCTGCCAGAACCAGACAAATTATTCGATACTTTGATTCAGAGGCACCAAAATAGAGCAATTTCATGCAAGGGATTTCAGCAGTAACAAGAACCTGTTTCGATCACCACTGCAGATGATCAAAGGGTCCACCAAGAACTCTGTTGTGCCAAGCACCGACTGCAATCCCAGCAATGCAGCGACCTCACTGACGCTGGCCAGGGGATGCTCAGGTGCATTTTCAAAAGGGACTTTGCCACATGCATGATCAACACTTGGTCTCCAGTGAAACACTTCACAGGCTGGACATGGTAATTGTTTTAATGTCAGGTGAGCATAGGGTACCTGTGTATTTCCCACCCCTTCCCAGAGCATTGTAGGGACAAGGCTGGGGACACACACCCTTAAAAAGCTATCTGATACATCTCCCCACCCCAGAACTGGCTCAACTCTACACCCAAACTATTCTTGCAAGATGTTTGACAAGTAAAAGCACTAACAATGCTACCCATGCCCTCAGCAGCCTTTTCGAGCTTTACTCTAAAGCTAAGAGTTCTTCCTGTGTCTAATCTCAATTTCCCTTTCCAGCTCACCTAGCCTCAGAGGACACAGGAGATAGCTTTGCTTCCTCTCTGCTGCAGAGTTGATGCCTTGTTAGCATGCCTACCTGAGGCAGGTGGTAGCAGGAGCTGCAGATGGGAGACACTGGGACAGCCCTGCCAGAGCAAACTCAGCTGTGCTATTCCCCTCATTGGCTCGTTCACAAAAGAGCCAGACAGTCCCCCTCAGCTGTCTGGCATTTAGCAGCAGGAAGGCAAATCAAATCATCAAAATCATTTTACTGTAAGGAGGAGCAGACCCATCTTCAGATGGACGGTGTGGCATTGCAGTGCTGCAAGTATCCCCTTGCCCCGCTGAAATCACTGGTAAAACCTGCAGCAGGGCCAGAAGCCATTACCTCCTGCAGCTCTCTTATTGATGAATTGATAAAAGCTCTGCATCTTATCACTCACTTGCTGTCCTGATCTTTTTTTCCTCGGTGCTTTTAAGTCGTTTGATATTTTTATCATTGTTGAAGCAGCAAGCAGACAAATTGATTTAGGAATTGCACAAACAAACTCTCTTAACCAGAACAGATTCAGATCCCTCTGTGCCTGGGATTTCCTGCTCTCCCATACCCATCCCCTCCAAGCCTGAAAGATACCTAAGGCAGCCAGGAGGCACAGACATAGAGCTACTGCTTTAACCCAACAACTAACACCCAGCACTATCCCCCAGCTGGGGTTTAAGGTTGCTGTAACAGATGCTGTCACAGCCAAGATGTAAAAAAAACAAAGAAGGATCTTTTTCTCTAGACATATCAAATATTCACACTGGACCTTGCAGAAGAGCTTTTGCATCTCATATTTGGAAGGTAAAATAGCAGGAAGGGAAATGCAGCAAATGACCTACAGAATTGAGTATCACATTTCAGGAGAGCGTTTCATCTTCAGCAAGTCTTTCTGAACTAGCAATTTTGTACTCAATCTTGAAGCCTAAGCCATCTAAAATAAAAGGTATGGGCAGCCCAAGTGAATTTAAAGCACCTACTATCTGGGTACTTCACATCCTGGACTGTTTAGGTCCTCAGAAACTGCATTAGCAAATGAAGAATGCTATTTACTTTTTTTTTTTTTTTGGTTGTTCCTTTGGCCACACTGCTCTAACAAAGGCACTGTAAATCCACTTGAAAGCTGCCTGCCCTGTTAAGTCTTGGCATGCCATATTTACTTATCTCTCCCTTCCAGATGCCAGGTAGACAAAGGAGGATGCAAGGAGTTCAGATCAGCAGAGGGATAAAGAAAAAAGAAACTTCAACAATTGGAGGTATTTAAGGGAAAAAACAGGAAACCATTTTCAAGTCACTGTCACTGCTAAGGAGCAAGTGGATCCACAGCAATGTAAGTAAGACCCCAAGGAATAAATGCCTCACCCAGGTGTAAACCCCCCAGAAGCGAGCACATGCCACCTTCCTATCTCTGCTGTTGGGAAGGGGCACTGGGACTGCCTGCACGGGGAAAGGGTCTTCTCCAGGTACACAAAGGCAAGGATAAAGCAACAGGGATTTGGCCTCACAGAGACAAACATGACCTTGAGAGAGAAAGTTGCCTCTCACCATTCATGCACCCACATGTTGCGTGCCGAGCCCCTTCTCTGGGGATGCTGCCCCCTGCACAAGGCTTGAGTCACAGCTCTCCAGAGTGTGCTGACCCTTCAGCCACACTCTATGACTCCACCAAAATGGGACCTTGCACCAAGCTCAACAGTCTCAAGCCAAACAGGGAGAAAGCCAAGGGAAGAGGGATGCTAGACAGAAGCTGGCTGCTCAGGCTGCTGTGAACCCACAGTCCCATGAGCTTTTGCAAGCTGGATCACCCTCCCTCGGGAGGAGATAAAGGCTGCAGTTCTCCACTGCAGCACTGCCCTGTGGTACCAGCTCTGCTGGGCACTTGCTTACAGTCTACAGGCACAGCTGAAATCAGTTTACAGCCTTGTTTTACTTTGCAACTGCAAACCCTTAGAGTGTTTCAAACTAGGTTTTGAAATAAAAATGCCTGGGTGAGAGAGGGGTTGCATCACTTTTATGCTTTAAAGATTGTTAAAGACCCACCAGCTTCAGGCTACAGATTTTCATGAAAATACAACTTCATCCGTCATACAACTCCTCTCCCAGTTTCAAGGAAAACACCTGTCACTGTACAATGGTTCCTCTTCTCTTACTCACCTTTGAGCAGCAATAAGTTACAAGCTCTGGCATTTGAATTGGCACCCAATGAAATTAAAGAACTCTTGTGTCTCAGAGATGGCATTTCAGGCTCTTTGCAACCTCAGACTAACATTAATTACTGTCACAGTGATACCAACTTCAGTGCCCAGTACACCAGCAAACACAGATGTTGGGTTTGCTGCATAACTAATCCTGAATACTTCACTAAATTCCTTGCAGCAGACTTCTAGCACGAGGTAACGTAGCAAGTCAAGCAGGGAAAGCTCCCTGCTGAAACCAGTATATCATAAAGGCTGGAAAATAAGGGCCATTAAAAGAGAGGAGGGACTGGAGGATGAAGACAGCTTCCCATGAAAAAGGATGGCCCTTCTGCCTCCCTCAGCCACCAATTCACAGGAGACTTTGAAATCAGTCACTTTGCTCCAGGTTTATTTTGCACAGGACTATTTGCCTTGATTTTCTGCCCCTTTCATCCCTGCAAGAGTCATCTTAAAATTATACTTGGAATTGCTTCTGTGTGCTACAAAACATCTAACAGCACCCGACTGAATTTTAAAGGAGTTAATTTCAGTAATGCAATAACTCATCAGCCTGTCATATTTCATATTAATCAATGAGCATTAATTCAGTCTCTACTGAGCATCAGTAATGAATTTGGCAAACCTTACAAACTGAACTTCTATTGCTTGAAAATATTGTATTGCTACAGCGAAAAGAGGGAGAGGACAAAACAGAGTAAGTGCTATGTTTTCATAGGCTTCTTGCTTCCTTCTTCCTTTAAGATAATCTATTAATAAGCCAAAGGACATACAAATGTATGTGTTCCTGTCTGTGTATTTGCCATGGTTTCCAATTAGGTGGAGACTGTCAGACCATAATGCAAGGACACCAGGAACACAGGGTCGCACAAGAACACCCACACGGTGCAGCTGAAGCCCTAAACCAGAAATGTGTACATCAGAAGCAGCAAGAGTAACTAATTGGAAATGTTGCCCAACAGAAAAATTAGCATTTCGTATTTCTAATGCAAGTGCCAGTAAACAAAGAGACATGTCAGCTATTTATCTACTTTCTGACAGTCCAATCATGTGGCACATTCCCAAATCACTGCAAGACAATAGGAAACTGCTCATTTTTCAAGAAAGGGCTACATGGCACATGGCATTTCAGCTACTAACAACTCACATGGCCCTTTTATTTAGGGCTTAGCCACAATTTTACTCCCTTGAAACAGGAGTGTCTTTACTGAAGTCAGACTTACCCCGGGGAAGAACAGAGAATTATATAAACCAACTCCACAACAGGAGGACTCTCCAACCCTGACAGAGGGGTTTGTACCTGCATCCCAGCTCACCGGGTTATCCACCATCCCTGCGGATCGTGGAGCAGCAGAGGGGCAAAGGCTGTTCAAAGGCAGCACTCGTCAGCCTTCCACAACTAACACACAGGTATTCTGCATGCAAGCCACTGCAAGCCCAACACAGGTGGCTTTACAGAACCATTTCCCAAAGCCTCTTTGCTAAGGGGTTTTCAAGGTGCCGTGCACCTCCTGACTGCGCTATTGATGCATTTCTATCTGAGCTACAGCACTCTGGTACTTCGCTGACTCACACTCCATCAAGTACGAGACAAAATGTTCGATTTGTACAAAATTCTGATTCTGCTGTATAAATCCCCACATGCTCCTCGCTGAGCAGCATGCATCCCTCTCCCCATGCCCTGCACAACCCCCAGTGCAGCAGGAACTACCGGAGTGTCACTGAAGCTGTGCAGAGGACGTCTCGCTGGCAGAGCTCCCTGCTCCATACACTCACCAGTTCAAGGGCAAGACAAGGGACAAAGTATTGGACATCGATGTTCTTGAGGGTTCTCTCATCCTACTTGTATTTGTGGTGATGTTCACATGTTGCTCTGCTGCCTCTCTAAACTTGAAGAGCAGCACTTTGCCCTTCATGGGTGCCAATTTGCCTCTACCACTCCCAAAATGAACACTAATTAATACGAAAAAATCACATTTTGAAGGCACCAGTGTACTTTGCAAAGCCTACCTCAATGAGATTAAGCTCTTGTGTCACCTGGGTAGTTTGGAGAACTGCCCTATGACAACATAATTTTAACCCTAAATATCAATGATGTTAAATAATTTCTCAGGCCCTCCAAAGGACAAGATTATTTCACAAGCATGGGGACCTAGGGATCACAGGGCATTTCCTCTTATGTTTCCTATATCCACGGTCTTTGAGCATAGGACAAAGCGTTAAACTAAACCTAAGCAGCAAGTGAAAGATGAAAAAGCAGGTACGCCCAAAGAGATCTTGCATCTCTGGCTGGGTGCAGAAACATCTACTGGCTTAAAACTATTCCCTAGCCTCACCTCTCCAATAAAGTCATGTGAACAGTGCTAAGAGGTAGCAGGATGCTGGTGGAAGGATTCAGCCTGCCTGTCCTTGTTTCCCTGCAATTCTTCCTCCCATCTATGCCAGGTATTAAATCCTTCTATACTAACGAGCCCCCAGATAACAGCACTGACCCTTCACATCACAGCACTGAGAATCAGACTTGCCAGGGCCACAGCACTGATGTGCAAACCACTAAGCAAAAGCACAGTGTGTTTGGCATGGAAGAGGTGCCAGCTGACAGAGCAACCACAACAACACGCATGAAGACACAGCCACACCGCAGGCTCTGGGTAATGTGCCTGCCTGCAGATTGTACCTGCCTGTTTATTCCTGTACGTGCTCTTTCAGGCAAATGTCTCAAAGTCACCTGCAGCCCAACAACCTCCTGACGAGTTAGGGACATCTAGAGCTCAGTGTGCCTGTGCCAGGCTGGCTCCCTGCCACGTGCACAGCACTCCCTCTGCCCCAGCCTCGCAGCTGGATCGCAGACAGATAAGTGTCCTCAGGGACAGCCCAGCTGCAAGGCTTGAAAACAGAGGGGATGGAAAGCATCATCTTTGCTCCAGCCCACGGTGAGGCAGAGAAGTGGCTGCCAGATGGGAAACAGAAAAGCTCTCTGGATCTCTTTGTTCCTCTAGTATTTTCCATAATTAAACCCCTACCATTGGGTAGAGAGATGGCTAAACAACTTATCAACACCCCAACCTGCCATTTTCCTACTGTTCCATGTGCATTTCCCCTCATGAACACTCAAGAAAGCACAGGGAAGGAAAGCACAGCCTGCCAGTCCCTGCTGCAGCAGCTAACAGCATCCTGCAATACCAAGATGTGACCAGCTGCAGACTGCCCGACCACAGCCTGGAGCAGATCCCACAGCAGGCTGTGGACTATAACCAGCCCACAACAAAAGTGATGACTTCAGACATAATGTTCCGCTGTCTCACGACCATGTCCAACACATGAGGCATTAAGGTGACTCCAGTTTCCAAGGGTGGTGGTCCTCACTCTGATCAGGCTCATTTAGGTCCTCCAAATAACAGGTCACTTTTAAACAGACCTTTGTATCTATAATTAGTGAAGCAAACCCATAATCACAAGCAGTGGACAGATACCAGAAATCAACACCTCAGGAGGCCACCCCACCACAGACAGCAGACTCTTATCTCTGAAACCAACAGACATGACATTAAATGTTCCATCACATAAGGTGTGGTGGTTTTGCTTTGGCTAAATTCCAGGTATCCACCAAGTCGCTCTATCACCTCTCCCCCCTTTCCCCCTTGTTTTCTCAACAGGGCAAAGAGGGGAAAGAAGATAAACCAACCCTTGTGGGTAATACAAAAGCAGTTTTAATATAAGCAAAATGAAGCAAAGGTCCACGTGCGGAAGCAAAAGCAAACAGATTTATTCTCTACTTCCCATGGACAGGCGATGTGGGGCCTTCTCAGGAAGCAGGGCTCCAATACATGGAGTGGTTGCCTCAGAGGACCAAGGGTGAACCCCACCCCCTTCCTCCTTTCTCCCAGCTTTATACTGAGCAAACGTCATATGGTATGGAATATCCCTTCGGTCAGTTGGGGTCAGCTGTCCTGGCTGTGTCCCCTCCCAAGATCTTGCCCACCCCGTCCCACTGGGGGAAATGTCAGAAAGAGTCTTGGTGCTGTGTAAGCACTGCTCAGCAGTAGCCACAACACCAGGGTGCTATCAACACCCTGCCAGCTCCCGACATAAAACACAGCACCGTGAGGGCTGCTGTAGGGGAAAACCAATTCCAGCTCAGCCAGACCCAGTACAGTCTGGGCAAGGACAAAAACAATCTGAAACATGTAAGAGCCTCCAGCCTATTAGGGTATAATCTTCACCATGGGGAAAGAGTTTCCCCCAGTTCTACATCCAGGGAAACCCTAGACAGTTCCTCAAAACCCACACCAGATGCCCTGTTCTGAATGCCCTGCAGATTCAGCTTCCACTGAAGGCACCAACCTCTCTGGACCTCCAGTCTCACCTTGCTCTCCTCAGGGGTGAACAGGATATGGAAAGCTGAACACATGCCAGGTGCTACCTTACAGCACACATCACTGGGGCTGGTCAACTTGAAGTAAGGCGACATCTCCAAGACCACCTTCTGGACGTTAGGAAAAAAATTTTCACAGAAAGAGTGGTCAGAGAGTGGAATAGGCTGCCCAGAGAGGGGGTGGAGTCCCCATCCCTGGGTGTGTTTAAGGGTCGTTTGGATGAGATGTTGAGGGATGTGGTGTAGGGGAGAACTCTGCAGAGTTGGGCTGAGGTTTGGACTCGATGATCCCAAAGGGCTTTTCCAACCTGAATGATTCTGGGATTCTGTGATTCACCAAAGAACCTGCAGAAGGACAGGAAACTATGATTTTGCCACTCATACGAAAACATGAGGTGAAAATACCCAGTCAGGCCCTGGGGACATCCTCCCTTAACCACCTTTCCAAAGCACTTCTAACTCTTGAGGTACCTAATAATAAAGGACGGACTTCAATCCATTCTGCCAGGGAAAAACAGCTCTAGGCCAGAGGCAGTAGGGAATGCCCTGCTGTGAAGGAATCACCGAGCAGGTGAGACACCAGCAGTATGGAGAGATAATACCTAAATCAAGTCATCTACATACTCAACCAGCCCTGCTGGGTTGAAGAAGAACCTGCTTGCTTCTGTCTGCACACACCCAAGCAGTCATGCCTCTGGAGGGAGATTTAAAGGCAAAACAATATGTGTTCTACTGGGGGAAGGAAGAAAGTCACTTCTAACATACTGGGTTTGAGTGGGGCAGTAAAGCTGCAGTGCTACAGTCATGCAGGCAGACCAGCAAGAGAAGGAGACCGCAGACACTGTGCCCTTACTGGGAATAAAAGCAAACCTGAAGAGCAAAAGGAGGAACATAGGAAGACAAAAGAAACAAGAAACAAGGAGACAGCTAAAGAAATTTAAAGGGGGCTGTAAAGAACCAAGGGAGAAGCCCAATACACTACCAGGAAAGGCTGATAGATGAGAGCAGACAATTTGCCAAAATGATGGAAAGCCAGACGACCCCCCAGGCTGTGTCTATCAATTATGGTCTTCAAAGGCATTTTCTGCCTCGAGATACATGACCAGCACTGACTCACAGTGTGGTTTCATTATTAAAAGCCACTTTCAGCTCTCCAGAGGTTCTTGCTGCCTGGTGCCTGCAGCCAGGCAGCTGCCAATGCAGGCAAGACACATTTCTGGGTATTCTTCCCCACACCCCGGGGTCCAGGCAGGCACCCTGCTGCAAGTTTCTGCCCTCTGGGATACCACAGGCACAGAGATGGCACACTGATATCAACCCCTGAGCACCAAATCTCACCTCAGAAAGTCTAAAATGGGCAGTTTGGACTGACAGGCAGCTTCACTGATAAGCAACAAACCCACGAGGCTTGGGAAAAATGGAGGTTCATTCTTCACCACCCACTCGAGCCTGATAACCCACGGCCAAGGCAGTCCTGAAGCAGTGCCCTGGGACAGTGAGTTCCAGGAGCCAATTTCACACTGCAGACAAACATTTTGGTCACCAAGTCCCTTGGGAGATAAGCACATGTGGCTAAGACCTTCAGCAAAAGCCACCCAGAACATCAGTGAGGGTGGTGAGGAGCAGCCTGAAGACAAAAAACACACAGGTAAGAGCAGTAACTATACAGCAAAGCACTTCTGTATTTGAATGATTACAGAGCCTCTGTTTGGAATATACTTTGCTGTCAGCTGGATTTTTATGGAGCAGATAACCTCAAGTTACCATGGAATATAGGTCAGTCTGATTCAGAGCAATCTGCAAAACGGGTCAGGAAACTTTGAGACAGAGTACAGTGTTGCTGGACATCACCAAAAGCCAACAGAATTAGAATATAACTACCTCTCTTGGGATTATCACCTCTATCTTTGGGGATTTTCCTTAGAGCTCAGCTTACTTTCACACCAAGAGCTGTCCGATGGTTGAGGTCTTACTAGCTTCAAAACAAATTCATTTTGGAAAAGATCAACAGCTCACACATTGCCTCCCCTTTACATGGCATACAAATCCCAAGGTGCAGCTGTACAAGTTTATTATTTTTCAGTGGGAATGGCAGAAATGTTGATGCAGATGTTCTTTTCCACTTGAGGAAGCATGAATAGAGCAAATTAACTGTTTGCCTGTTGGCTGGTACTTGGCAATGACAAATATTTTGAAGTGCTGCCTGGATAATGGAGCAGCTGAAGCCAAAAGACTTAATGGGAAAAAAGAAGAGCTGTAGGAAAAAAAGAGAAACTGAGGCACATTTTAATCAGGAAAGAGGATACCTACAGCAAAGAGTGCCCAGAATGAGCATGGACCCCAGGAATGGTATCTCTTTGACAGGGGCACCCACACTGCTCCTTCCAATATTCCCAAGCTAAATGCCAGGTCAGGAATGGCACAGGACTCTCCAGGAATAACTGAGGGATCACACCTGAAACTTTCTTTGCCAAAGGGTCTTCCATTTTCAACCATGTCCCTGTCAAAACCTGTTATCTCAGAATATACTCTGACTTCTCTTGCTGTTCTTCCACCTGCAACATGCCCTGACAGCTTTTTGTCCACTTGTTTGTTTTCCAACAGGTAGATTTGGAGGGGGGTTAATTCACATGCTCTCATGTACACTTCCATCTGCCCATCCTGCTCTCCTCTTGCGTACACATCTTACTCTTCACTACAGAACAGTATCTTTAATTACACCTTTCTTTTTCTTAACTTACTCTGCATGCAGCACACTTACTCTTACGTGATGAGAGAAACCCTTGTGTGTACAATATTCTCTCCCAGAGCACCTTCTCAGATCCTTTCCTCCCTCCTGTCTTTTCCCACCAGCTTGCTTTTGGCACATACCTCATTCAAGCAAAAGTTTCCCCTGCTGAAATTTAAAAGATCTCAATTTTCCTCTTTACAGTGCAACAACATTGCTGACATTTTTCAACTTCTCCCTTCTCAACTTTCCTGGGAAATCTCAGTATGATCTCAATATGAAGGTGGAGACCTTCAAGGGCACATTACTCTGGATGTGCTGTAGTTCTCCAAAGGGAAAGCAGAGAGCCACACTGTCTTAGAAAAATCTGAGCAGAACTGCATTAAGCTTAGCAGGAGCCTAAAGTGGCACCTAAGGCCTCCCACTGCTCCTGCTAAATCAGTCCATTCCCCTGCTGCTTCAAAACACCTTTTCTGGAGTGCTAATGCCACTAACCATAATTTCCTCCAGCATAAAGCCGAGAAGGCTCAACCCCTGGGCTTTGACAGTGAGCTGCACAGAGGCAGCTAAGCAGGCTGTGAGAGGCAGAGGTGCCCTGCCAGAAACGAGATTAACCAGGGAGCCACCAGCACATGATGCAGACTTGTGGTAAAGCAGGAGAGAAGGTAAGAACTGTACAACCCTCAACGTTCCCTCAATCCAGGGCTTTCAAGGGGAAGGACTCTGACTAGAAAAGCTCCTTTGCGTTAGATACCACCAATGCGTGGCCAGAATCAGGGGGAGAATCCCCAGCATGGCAAGATTTCCACCATCCTGCAAAATAAAGATGGTGAGACGTTTTATTCTGGATGTGCTGTGCTGCAGCAGATAACTTGCTATGCTGTAGCCACATGAATTACACTGCTCTCCTCTTCCCTCACAGTGTTAAACCTCCGCATGGCAGCACTTACCTGTCAGTGTTCCTCAGAATCAGTGGCACTTCGTAGACCTTGAAGAGGACGTAGTTCTGAAATACCACCTCTGAAGGAAAAGACTGAAACAAGGTCTGTTCCAGGTCAACTGCTGAGAACTGGAGAGGCAGGACAGCGTGTTGAGAAGAGGGTCAGCTGCTGGGAGAAAGATTCATGAATGAGAATCCTACACCGATCTCCAGTGGAGTACAGTCTCTTGGTGAGTGTGTCCGCACAGATCACACCAGGGAAACAGACCCCACCAGTGTTCTGAGCTGATCAAAAGTTTCTGGACTGTTATGGATTAATCATAATTTAAAGTGAAATCACCACCTTCGAATTTGTTTTAGTGGCCAGTAAAATGTATTAGCAAGCGAAAGTGAGCGAAACAGCGCCGGGCGTGCCGGGCAGTCCCTGCTCCACCCAGACACACACCTTACATCCCGAAACGGAGTCCTTTCAAAGTGCAGCCCGCATGAATATTCATGAGGGTGGGGGTGCTCCCTGAGGGGTTTGCAAGTCGGCAACAACTTTTCGCGGGCTTTTCTTTCCCAGGGAAGGTTCGCGGCTTTCCACCGTGGGGGAGGAGGGGACGGCTCAGCACAGGTGTGCGGGTATCCATGGGCCAGACAGGGCTGGACATAACACTATCTGGCCTGAAGACGGCGGCCATTTTAACTCCCTTTTAACAACTGAATTTAACCATAAAAAACTATATACGTAATGCCTTATCTCTTTTTAAACCTTAGGTTACATGCAAAGTGCAAAAACATTTAGAACCATAACACTGTCTGACCACAACCAAGTTCAGTTACAATACAATCTGATGTTAACACAGTTTCTTTTTATATTTAATTTACGGAATAATATATTTAACCATAACTTGAGATTTGAATAACAAATATCATAGAGGTTTTATTACATGGACCACACTGAGCTGGCTTGAGCTAAGAAGCTCTTTTGGTAGGTGTTCCTCCAGGTTTCCTTCTCCAGGATGCAAGGCAGCCTTACCGCCAGCACAGCCCTGTGCTAATGGTCACACGGGTCAGAGCATTTCCTGGAAGAGCCACGAGCACATATGGAGCAAGTGAAACCCAAGAATTTACACGAGACTCCATGGGAAAGAATTTTGGGATGATCTTTACTTTGAGACAGAGAGACAGAGTCCCCCACATCCCTAAATATCTTTTTTTGAGCCTAGAAACCAGTTAGAAGACAACACTATCCGAAGAGAGGTAAGGCTAAAAAGAAAGTAACACAGTAGTTGGGAAAAGACAAAGGAGGTGAATGCCAGATAGTGATAAGGTTTAGCTCTTTTCTCAGCATTACTGGGCAAACCAAATGAGACTGAACTTGGTATCTCTGTTTTCCACTGGCTTTAAACAGATGCTTTATTGTATTCCATAATTGCCATTTCATTTAATACCACTGCAGAAGCATGTCTGAAAATGTACACAAACAGCAAATGTTCACAGAGCAGAGGCAATATTTTAAGAAAATTCCTCCCTGCTTCGTCTCCCCTCTCCCAGCTGCACTGTTCCCACTGAAAAGGCACCAGCAGGCCTCCTGCCTCTCCACAGAAGCCACACTCACTCACACAGAAGCCACACTCACACAGAAGCCACACTCACACAGCAGCTCATGCCTGCAGCACACTGCTAGTTATATGTGCGCTCATCTGATGCGTTCCCAACCTCCCGTGCTGTCTAGGGCAATCTTTAACCAATTTGTTACAGGTCTCTTGCTGGCAATTTTCCGCTCAACAGCCTACCTTAGCAATCTACCTGTTTGGACTGTGTGCTCTAAGTGAGCAGTCCTCTAAGAAAAGCAGCTTTAAACATACATCTAACACTGATCCAGATAAAGCACAGGCACTCCTCTCTGCCCCGGGTGATTCCCCTGTATATCTGGCAGCCTGCAAAATAACACCCTGTAAGGGTCTCACACACTGTTCCAACCCAAAACATTAATGCACTTAGTTTTGTTAAATCTTAAGTAATTACTATAGGCCCTCAGCCTTCAAAGGCCAATGCTGCCACCATTGAGGGAGTCCTATGATCCCAAGCATTTGACAGTGGCTACACCAAAGCATGAGGTGGCTATTTCACCAGGAGGATGGAAAATGGCAAGCTCAGGCCCCTGCTGCCTGCCCCAGCCTTCCCCCAGTATTGTGCTTTAGCAGCGGTAGCTACACTCCAGCAAAACCCACCAGCTTCAGCAGAGGTTATTTATATTGACTTAGCACAGATCAGGACTTCCAACCTCTCATCGGGGAAAAACGTTCCACCTTTCCCCAGCAGAAGGCAGAAGGAACTCCACCACCACCAGCAGTTTAAAAAGACAACAGAACCCAGTCACTGAGGTATTCAGATGATACGGAGGCACACCTGTCACAAGCACACACCCTCTTCAAATGTCACATCAAACAGCAAGGAAAAGAGCAGGGAAAGGCTACCTTGTGATGGGAGGTTTCACTCTCGTCTAAAAACTGAGTAATCTGGGGCTGCCTCTTCTCCCAGGTGCTGGCCAGGCTCTGCTTGGTGCTAAGAGACATCTCCTTCAGGAAGGCAGAGGGAGTCAGCTGAAATGCAAAACGCCAGCAAGAGCTACAGAAATGCCTTTGTGCAGAAAGGCTTTTCTTGTTTAAGTGCCACTGATGAATAATTTGTGATCACAGCCACTAGGATAGTCCTGGAAGTCCTGGAAGTTACCTGCTGAAATATTTAACACCAGTAAATTAATGATACAGAGCAGAATGCACACGCTCTAAGCAACTAGCTCTGTCCCATTAGCTTCTCCTTCAGGATGTGATGTGACATGTTTGGGCATTTCTGCTCTTCAGATATTTGTTCCCTCTAGTTTTGCTGGATTGAGCCAGAGACCTCTGAAGAGAGCGGGGAGGAGTTACCAGAAATCCCCTAACACCACCCTTGCACAGTGCTCACAACCAACATGCAGGTGGAGATGGCACTGCTGGGTGAGTCAGAGGAAAGCAGAAGAGCAGTGTTGTGCCAAGAATGAGGTGGTTAGTTATTTCTTTTCCATTAGCACATGTTTTCTCTCTGTTCTGGCCTCACAGACCCCTCCACAGGAGGATACAGAGATGTCTCCTTGACAGAGCCTCAGCACTGGGTCACCTCCAGTGGGAGCTCCCAGCCAGGAAAGGGGACAGTTGTGGGTATCAAGGAGGAATCACCCTGAACCCATGGGTGTTTGCAGGGCTGCATCTGTGTTCCACAGAGGATACGAGATACAGTAAAATAACTCTTTCAGAAGCTATTCTATCTGCGACCAACCATGTTCTGTCAAGCCTTCGGGGTGAGTTTGAACAGCCCACCTCATGCCCAGCCACCCAGAGGTATAGTCAGGGCAGCACTGGCACCTATGCCTATGTGACAGAAGATGTTACTGCCACCACAGCAAAGAGGATGGAGGGAAGCACATGTTTGTGCTTCAGCTACTCCAGTGCAACACCTGCCCGGTGCATTTCTTTAACTTGGCTCCACCGGCACATTCAGGTAAGACCCTGGACTTTCCCTGGGGCAGCACACAGTCCATCCCCCACTGCACCACAATAGGGAGGTTCAGACCTTGCTGAGCTTTGCTCAAATCCTTCACCTTCATTCCAAGGCCAGAGGTGCTTCTGCAACTAGGAAAATAGGATGGCTTGGCTGGCTGGCCAGACCACAGTAGAAAACTGAAATTGCATGAGATGACAAACAAGAGCCCTTCCAAAGCAGGTATCTGGAGACTAATTCCTGCTTCATAGTCAGCCGTCACTGGTATTTCACTGAGAACTGTCCAGGACACTTCCAACCCCGAGCCTTGGACAAATGCCATGGGACTGCAAAGTGGGAAATAATTACCTGAAAAGAACATGTCATCTATTCATCTTCCCCACATTTCCTCTCAAACAGAAAAGCTTCTGCCTAAATAACCAGCCCTAAGAAGACCTGTAGTCATTAATGCAGCTCACCCGGGCAGCAGTGCATTGTGTCCCTGGGTCACAGCAGCCTTTGGGCAGGGCTCACCCTGTGCCACAGGAAAGGGCCACAGGGGAATGCCTGATTCTCAGTGTACAGTCTTTCCTAAGGGCTGAGCAACAAAATACAAGTGCATGCAACAAAAAAGTCACCCCTGGTATGCAGCAGGAGGGCAACTACATCAGCACACATGGCAACATGGTTCATCCCTATGGAAATTCCGAATTACAGCACTGAAGAGGTCACCACTTGCTGAGAGCACCCCAGGACAGTCTGCAGGTGCTAACTTCAGCCACCCAGGCTGGAGCAGCCCAGCACCCGCGAGGCCCCAGCTCTGTCCCTGCCTCAGACAGGCTCCTCAGCCTCCCTGCAGTGCCCATCACTCAAGGCAGAGCCTGCGTAACCCCCCTGCAAAACCTTCTCCCAGCCTGGTGGGAGGCAAAGCCCTTTGGCCAGGGCCTGAAACACCCAGGCAAAACCCTCCCCGGCAGCAGGGAAGAGCTGACGTAGCCCTGTGAACATGGAGCTCCAGAGACCCTGCTGATCAAGCAGAAGGGCACTGGTGCTCCCTGCAAAAAGCAGCTTTACTGGATTCTCTCCGCTTTTGCACGCAAAGCCCTTGGGGGCCTTCAGTGTTTTGCAAACACACACACGTTCTGCCAAAGCTGCTTAATTTCTATTTCTATTTCTATAGACTATTACTTTTTCTAGCTAACAGGGACTTCGAGGGACAGGGATATACTGCATCCCCAGACAACCCTGTGGGGAGGTTGCAGGTGGACTCTACCAGCCAGACTGCTGGCAGCTGAGCAGAGGGAGGCCACAGCCAGCCTGTGCTGTAGCTCCTTCACCATAACCAAGGCTCTCCATGGCTACAGACAACAGGCAGCCCCACCAAGCTGCCAGTTTGGAACAGCTATGGACCTGAAATTAAAATCAGTATGGGTGTACCTACTTTGGAAGCTGACACACATGGTTCAGGGTGACCTGCAGGATGGAGAAGACTGCAGCCACCACTTTCTGACCCAGTCCTGCACCTCACCATGCTTGGGGATGGAAAAGTCCTAAGACAGACCCCTCCTCTCACAGAGCTCCCTGCCCAGGTACACAGGTGCAGCTGAAACAGGGAACCGGACCAAGTCTCTTCCAGGCTTCTTCCTGAGGACAGGGCTTATTGGTTCAAAGGCACCTTGTAAGCCAGCCACAAAATGAAGCAACAGCCATCTCCCCCAGGGGAGACCCACACTTTCAAAAAGAGAGCCCAGAAGCTGAATTTCACATCACCACAGATGCTCAGGACCATGGACTCAGAGGAGGCACAGGGAATTATATGGCTGCCCCCTCTCCATTCCTGGGGTTGTACATACCCATCTCTGCTCCCTCAGGGACCCACAAGCCCCTCTTCCTTTTCCAACATTCTCTCTGCCTCATGAGCTCACCTCTGTTTTCCTGCACAATATCCAACTGTCACCATTAGATTCAGCTTGGAGCCATCATTCCCAATTCACACTTGGCTCTCAGTGGGCCGCCTGTGTTTCTGACTCCAATAGGACATATGTCAAGCAGCACAGAGTGCATCTAGACCCCAGGAGTGGAGAGGGGATTACACTGGCCCACAGCCCAGCACAGAAGCAAGCCAGCCACCTCAGCACTTCAGACAAGCCATCCTTCTCCATCCTAGCAAGGTCTGACCAAACCAGGCTGCTGGCCCTGCTCTCTTCAGAGGCACAGGGAACTGTTGATTCATGGAGGGAGCTGCTCTACAGGGCTGAAAATCCTTCCCCCATCCCCCGGGAAACACTGTTTACACAGCTCTTGTCCTTCTGCAGAAACAAATGAGCATACAGCCAAGAGCAACAGGCAGGCATGTGGCATTAACCTCTCTCTTGCTGCAGTGCCTGAAGGGCACAGAGCAACATCAGCCTGCGTCCCCCGACTGCCCTGCTGCAGGCTCCAAGACAAAGCCCCAGCACAGGCACTGCCCAGCTTCTGAACACCAGGACCAGAGCCCTGGGGGGTGACACAGGCACATCAGAAACATCTGTCCTGGCATCAGTGCTACACTCACCAGATCGAACCTGTTATGGATTAATCATAATTTAAAGTGAAATCACCACCTTCAAATTTGTTTTAGTGGCCAATAAAATGTATTAGTGAGCGAAACAGCGCCGGGCGTGCCGGGCAGTCCCTGCTCCACCCAGACACACACCTTACATCCCGAAACGGAGTCCTTTCAAAGTGCAGCCCGCATGAATATTCATGAGGGTGGGGGTGCTCCCTGAGGGGTTTGCAAGTCGGCAACAACTTTTCGCGGGCTTTTCTTTCCCAGGGAAGGTTCGCGGCTTTCCACCGTGGGGGAGGAGGGGACGGCTCAGCACAGGTGTGCGGGTATCCATGGGCCAGACAGGGCTGGACATAACACCGTTTGGCCTGAGGACGGCGGCCATTTTAACTCCCTTTTAACAACTGAATTTAACCATAAAAAACTATATACGTAATGCCTTATCTCTTTTTAAACCTTAGGTTACATGCAAAGTGCAAAAACATTTAGAACCGTACACTGTCTGACCACAACCAAGTTCAGTTACAATACAATCTGATGTTAACACAGTTTCTTTTTATATTTAATTTACTGAATAATATATTTAATCATAACCCCATAACCCCATCCTGGGGCTGACACTACCTTAATCCCAACTGTCTTGGCCTTGTGTTTCTTCTGGCAGCTAAAAACCACCTAAGTCCCCATGATATTGAGGGCAGAAACATGCTGCAGTACCGGCACACTGTAGGAGCAGGGCTTAGTGGCCTTTCACAGTCACAGAGGCAGAGCAGGGCTCATCAGTCTCTCCTCCTCCACACCCAGCTCTTCTCAGCTGGCAGGGTCCTGCCAGGGCATTCTCCATCCCACCCAGTGCCAGGGGACACCAACAGGCTGCAGAGCACCAGGCCTTCCTCTCCTCCACCCAAGAAGGATACAGAACCTCCTGTGGAGCCTAAGCACATGGCAGCTCTACTGCTTGGCATCACGTGCATTTAAAACCATGGCAATATCTGAGGACCCACAGCCCAGCAAGATGGTCAGCCCAAAGGACCACACTAAATGCCACAAGCAGCCCTTCCCTCCATCTTCTCCAGGCCAAGAAAAAAAAAAAAAACAAACAAAAAACTCATGTGCTTTACCTGGTTCACAACAGCCTGGTTGGAATTTACAGCTTGGGGCATTACTTGGCAGCTCCATTTGCAATAGGACGGGTCTCCCTGGCTCCTGGCTTCACAGCAAGTCGGTCATCCAAAGCCCCAGCTAGTCCAATACCTCTCCTGCAGGGCACTGTCAAACACCAACATCTGGTTCTGTGATTTGAAGCAAAGGAGAGGAAGATGAGAAAAACCAACAGCTGTAAGTGGGACACAGGGAAGGAACAAACCCAGCCCATGACATGCACTTCAGCCTCAGCCCAGAGGAGCCCCAGGCACAGTCACAGCAGCCACAATGCACCACAGCTGTTCAGAAGCAGTGCTGGGAAAGTAGCTTGCTTTATTTATCCTTTGTGAAGCACTGAAGGGTCAAGCTGGTCTCCTTGCCACTGCCAGGCCAGTGCCAAGAGGTGTTCGAGCAGCCTGCAGGCACCAGCTCTGCTGGGCAAGGAACTTACAATGTGAACAGGCATCAAGAAAAAAAGAAAAGCGGAATGTGGCTTTACCTGCTCTGGGCAGCTGCCTTCACAGGCCAAAGACAACCATGCAACAGCCACAATTACTGAGCCTCAACTCAAGCAAAATCCCAAAGCCATTGCTGATTTGCTTAAGAAGGGACTACTGGACAAGTCAAATATTTGACTGCATTTGTATTCAAAAGTTTTTTTGCCAAAAAGACTGGGAGTTTTGTTGAAGAACAGCCATGCAGGGACCGTCCTGGGCTGGAACCTAAGCCAGGGCTTTATGATTTTTAAACAGGGAATCTAGCACACCCTTTAAAAGAGCCTCTGCTCTCTGCCATGGAGGTACTGTCAGACTCTACAGCTTTTACGTGATTGAGGTCTCCATGCTGACTCCCAGCACATCACATTTTGGCTGTGGGAGCAGAGGGGCAGGTTTTCATTTTCCACATAGAGATTGTTCAAGCTGAACTGCTAAAAAAGCTCCTCAGGTTCTTCCTTTGAACCTCTTCCCATCCTTCACACATCCCAAGAACTACCATGAATGAAAAAACCAGTAACAAAATCAGCCCCAAACATCTCCTGGAGATTCTCCTTGAGAGAAGTCTTCCCACTCATGAAGAACCAGCTTTGTAATAAGGATATGGCCTCAAATGCAGAGGGGAAACCCCTTCAAAACACAAAGCAGGAGTGGAGCGACTCGTGAAATCATCAGAGTGGTTGACCAAAAAAGCTGATTGGTCTGTGTAGGGAGCACCGAAGGCCTGAAAGAATGAATCTGTCAGGGCACTGATATGTAAACCAGCTGGGATTTTAGAAGACAAGACAGTAGCTACATTAAAAAAAACACAAAAACCAAAAACCACAAACAAACAAAAAAACCCTAAACAAAAATGAGGATAAAAAAATAAAAGAAGGCATGCCAGTGGGTCCAGAAACAGCCAGGCTTGCATCTCAGTGACCACCAGCACAAGCATTGCTGACTTTCAAGGCTCAGAGTTGCAGGACAGACCCACCCAAGCCAGAGCTGTCAGCCTCATGGCAGAGCTTTTGTTTCCCATTACCAGGTCTGTCACAGGAGCAGGTCAGGAAGGTGCAGGTTTGATCTGAGCAGCCTCTCTCTGCCAAGGATGAAAGCAAGGACCTAAGTACCCCATTTGTGACTTCCTCTCCCAGTGCTTCCTAGTGCACTCTGGCACCTGATTTCATTAAAAGGGAAGAGGGGGAGCAGATGGAAACAAAAAGAAGCTGTCAGCTGCCAATCCCATCTGACTCCATCTCTCTCCCCACTGCAGAAGAAGCACAACTGGCTGCTCTTGGAAGGACAACAACAAGGCCAGCAGGAGTCAAGCAGAATTTCAGGTGGGCAATAAACAGCAAGAGCAGATGACATCTTGGTAAATCAGAGCTCCTTTTGTCAGGAAGAAATTAATTTGCAACCAGGAAAGGCAAGATATGAGGACTGTGAAACGTCTGGGAACCTTTCCCTCCCCGCAAGCAGTGAGGAGCGGTGTGCTGGCTGAAACAGCCATGATGTCTCAAGTCTCTCCAGCATGTCTCTGCCTCCACGTACCAGCAAACCCAGAAGCAAAGTCCCATTGCATGAGCTGAGGTCCCTAGCACGGTGTGCAGAAATCTCACACCCCTACCTCACAGCCTCTAGTTCAGGTAGTCAAGCATTCTAGGAAGCCTCAGCCGACCTAGGTGACATCCTATAAGCAAGAGCATGCGAGAAGGTACATATCTATCACCCTTCTTTTCAAGGTGTTTTCTTCATTCCTAATCCCCAGAGCATCCTTCTTGGGCTCCATGGCAGAGACAGCCCTGCAACTTTCCCTTACAAAGCAGCATGGGGACTCCCAGGGCAGCAAGGCCACAGAGAAGAAACCTTCCCCATTTCCTTAACCAACCCAAAACGTCCTCCTCTTTCCCATAGACAGGAAAAAAAAATTCCCCCCCTCAGCAGAGGCAGCACAATAAAATGGATCAAGGGAGACACTGAAGGTCACAAATTTGTACTCATCTAACTACAGCTCTGCCAGGGACCAGGCAAGGTGTTTGATCCCACAGGGATTTGACTTTCCTACCTGCCAGGCAAGTCCAGCAATACTTATTTGGGAAAAGGCGAAGGCACATGGGCTAGCAAACAACTCATATTCAACACAGTACTGTGAAGACTATGGAGAGGCTTATCTATCCTCTCTCTGCAATCCACTTCTCTCTCTAATGCCTGAGAAGCCCAGTGTTTTTAGCAACATATATAATAAGCTTAGTAGGAATTTTTTTACCAGACTAACTTGATGGGGACAAAAAGTATTACTGACAAGCCTGATCTTATCCATATCCTTACAGCATGCTGGACAGATCAACATTCTTTAAAATATGTGCCTACAGCACTCCTGAAAGGCAGGGATAAAAAGCCTCTCAGCTTTGTGGATAGAGCTGCGATGCAGATGATACTACACAGGAAAATTAAGGCGTAAGTTTATTATGCATCAGCTCTTCTCCAGCTACTGCCTCCAAGCAGGGTCCTGCCCCACAGAACACAAGGTGTCACACTCTGCCTTTGCTGTGGGCTCAGATGCCTGGCACATCTGCAGCCAGCTTACAGCTACCTGCCTCCTGCCTTGGCCACCCACCTGGAAACCTTGAAGGGAGAAGTGGGCACCGAGCACCCAGCTGGTGCTTTCAGCCCTCAGCATTCTCTGTCTCTAAACAGAGCAGAGAAAGTAAAATTATGCCCAAGCACCAGGACCTTATAGACACGTCCATGCACTGAACTTCTAACTGAGAAACGAATACCTACAGTTTCTCTTTAGCACAGCCTCAAGGCAGGTACCTTCTTTTAACCCTCCCTGGCTGCTGCTCCCACCATATTAATTAGGAACTGGATACTGAGTTCTCCCAGACAGGTTCACAATAACTTGCTGAGCTGAACACAGAAAGATGGCTTCTGTTCAATTTTCTTATGACTAGAAGACAGAGGTTTCAAAATGTGTTGGGAAACTTTTTTTTTTCCCCTGGCTGGTCTCACCAGCACTGAGAACTCCTTTTACAAATGATATCTCATTAGAGATACATCTGGGATTAACCAAGCTAGCTACATTAAACCTTCCCAAGGACTAGCTGGGCTGCAAGGGGAACTGATGAATCTCCTTATGGAGCAGATCTGGATAATTAGCCCAGCAATGAGACTGGTCAGGAAGCCAGCTTGTGAGTAACACTTCTCCATGAGGTAGAGCAGTGACAGCTTTGCAGGCTGACTCTGGGAGGCTCCAGCTGCTGGCAGAACACAGCTCCCTCCTGCGCTGGTTTGCAAGCCCTCTCTCCCCAGGCAGAGGCAGCAGATGAGGTAGCCAACCTCCCTCCAGACAGGACATCTGAGTCTATAATGGCAGCTTCAGTTCCTGGGCTTAGCTTTGTTCCTCTTCACAGCTCAGAGCTTTTCTGCCTCATTGGACACACCAATCCCTCCCTTCCCTGAACTCCAAAGAGGGCCCTGGGGAGGATGGACTGGCCCCTCCATGCTTTCAAGATTGCTGGGCTGTATCTCTGTGCAATCCAGAGTCTCTGCACATAAGGGCAGCCCTTTTTTTAGTCTCTGGCAAAGTGAGCTGAAAAGCAGTTGGGGAGAAGCATTCCCTTTGGAGAGTGGGATTTCTCCTTCCCAGAGAGCAGCATTTGCGCAGCAGCAGACAAACTGGTTGACATTTCCGAAAGCTCTGAAAGCACAAAACCCTCTAGAAATGCCCATCATTAGTCCTGCTATTCTTGTCCCACAAAGCTTGTTTGTCTCCCACAAAAGCTACGACAAAAGCACAACCCTTGCACACATCCTGTCTCCCTGGGAACTAATCCTACGCTCCTCCTCCTCAACTTAACCATCCGCTTGAGCCCACAGCAAAATTTCAAGGCCTAGAAACACCTGGCATGAAATGAATACCAAGGTCAGATATCAATTGCAACCTCTCCTGGGGATGTACGCCCAACAAGAAACCCTCTCTCATTATGGTCATAATCCAGGTAAGCCTGAAACAGCTGCTCTTGAGGAAAGAAGCAATACAAGGACCTCCTCGTCAACACATCCCTCCCAAAGCCCTGCTTGGTCCCTTGGCAGGGCAGGGGCTGCTGCCAGCATGGGCTCCCTACCTTCCAAATTCCCCCCTCAACATTCCCACTTGCCCCAAGTCTATGTACGGGTCCATCTGGCAATTTCACAGCAACAGCAGCTGTCTTTTCAGTAAAATAAATCATCTAGAAGAGAAAAGGCAGCTAGCATCTGCTCCCTGGCAGAGCTTGCTGAAGACAGGAATACTGCTACATTTCTACATGGTTTATAATGCTTTTTTCTCTTCCTTTCATTCCTCGTAAAGCAGACTGCATGGGTCATCAGCAGGATCAGGCACAGAACTATGGAAAAATTTAGGTGGAAGAGACTTTGGATGTCTCTGGTCCAACCCCTCCACACAAAACAGACAATTTCAAAGTTAAAACAGATTGTGCAGGTATGTGTCCAGCAGTGTTAAGTATCTCCCAGGATGGAGATTCCCCACCTCTCTGGATCACAATAAGCCTTTACCTGCCTTTGAAGTTACCAGATATTTGTCCTCAACTATAGCACAGGCTCCAGGAGATACTGTGTGTTGTGATCCTGCAGCCTTTGTTCTGAAAGTTAACCTCAGCACATGCCTTCAAAGTCCTTGGCTTGAAAAGAAGAAAAAGTCTCCTGTTTTGGGTGTTTTTTTGTTTTTAAGCAGCCATCTGCTGAACTAT